CTGGGGAGGTTAAGGCTTGGGGTGGGCAGGGAAGGAGAGCGGTGGTCCTGGACAGCTGAGAACAACCCCGGAGGTCAGCAAAGCTTCATCCAGCAACTCACAGCCAGGGAGAGGATGCGTGCGCTGTCCATGATGGAGGGGGAGGTCTTGTGCAGAGACTGGTTCATCAGCGTGCTGAGCAGCTCCTGCAGCACCTTCTCCACAGCCTGGGGCTCAGAGAGCATCACCTTCCACATGGCCACGGCGACACTGTGAGGAGCCATGGCTCTGTCAAGCAGGGACACCCCAGAGGCTGGCCAGGCTGATGTCCCTTGGGAGGGTCTTGGGGCCGCTCTCCCAGTGTGAGAGGAGCCCCAAAGACTGGTGTGCCCTGTACCGGGTGCACGTCGGGGAGCACTGCAGCAGGCTGGCCACCACCTCACCGGGGTGTTTGCCCGTCAGCGCCAGCTGGGCCCTGTCCAGGCTGTTGAGGGCTACCACCAGCCTGACAAAGGGCCGGTTTCTGTAGATGGCCCACACGATTTTCAGCACCTGGAGGGGAGACACGGGTGGGAGTGGGGATGCCAGCAGGGTGGGCGCAACCATTTCCCCAGCTCCCACTGGGAGCTGCTTCCATTCTCATTGCATTATGCTGGCTTGGCACGGTGTCAGTGCTGGCCAGGAGCAGGGCTGGGGGAGGAACAGTCCCCCAGCGAGCTGGAGCATCCGCTGTGCCACCCACGGGCTATTCACCTGCCCCGGGTAGAAGGCAGGGTCTGCCACGAGGACATCCACCATGTGGGCAGCCACGCTGATGCTGTAGGCGCTTGGGGCTCTCAAGCTCTTGATGGCCATGAGGATGATATCTGCCTGGTCGGAGGGCTGGAGGTATTTTACGAACATCTGCGGGATGAAGGAGAAGAGGGGAGATTTGCCAGCTAGGGCGTCACCCAGAGCATCTCGGCTGTGCAGTGAGAGCAGGATGCAGAGCTCCCTGGGGACCTTTGCTTAGCTCCTGCTCAGGAACAGCCCAAGCCCCCGTCATCCCCAACGTACCAGGTGTCCCTTCACTCATGCTGACCCCTCCGGCCAGGAGTCAAAGGCATTTCTTACCAAGAATAATTTTCTGGCACAGCTGGTTTGCAAAAGCTGCCAGGCCCGCCTCGCCTGCCAGCCCTCCTGGAGCTGCAGCTGCCCTGTGTCGTGCAGCCAGGGCCACCTGCCTGGAGAGGAGCAAAACAGGGGTGCTCAGAGGGAGGGTGCAGAGCTGGAGGTGCAGTCTGAGAGAGATAGGCAGAAAAATTGCTTGTAAAGAAAGAGGGCACCCAGACAGGTCTGGGGAGCAGATACCCGGGGAGAGTCCAGGGCTATTGCGAGCAGGAGCGAGGGGAAATGGCTTTTCAGACTGCAGGCAGGCAGGTTGGATCAGGCTTTCTCTCACCAGGGAGACTGGCCCCTGGCTGCCCAGGCCTGGGGGGACCCAGCCTGACACAGCTTCTTACTTCTCTGCTGCAGGACGAAGGCATGCAGGTGATAGAGAGCTTCTGCAGCCTCGTCGCAGGTCCCCTTGTCCTTGCAGGTGCAGCAGAGCGTGAGGTGCCCCACCAGCCTCCCCAGCATCGTAAACTTATGTGCCTTGGAGCACTGATGTCTAAGGACTGTGGCTTGTGCAAAGCAGGGGCAGACCTGGGGGAAGAGAGGCAGGGGGGGCACAGGGTGAGCCCCAGATGGGCAGCAGGGCAGAGCAGGGCAGGGCTGCCTTGGCCCGGGAGAGAGCATGGACAGGACAGGGCCAGGGCAAAGCCCTCTGCTCCTGAACTGCTGACTGGGTGCCCAGCTTCCCTGGGAGGTGCCGGGGCTCAGGAGCATCGGATAGGGCACTAGGGCTGCCCAGACCAGGAGCTCAGTACCTGTGGCAGGGGGTAGGTGGTGATGAAGTCGGCCAGCCTGGCAATCCGTGCCATGGCCCTCTCTTGCACCGCTGCCAGCTGGGAACTGGTGAAGGGCAGCAGGAGCTGGGAGGAGAGAAGCTGCTGGTGTGCCAGGGAGGTGGCATGGCAGAGCATGGCACGGCCGGGCTTGCTCTGGGGCAGTGCCTGGGATAGGACATGTGTCCTTCTTGCCCCTCGCAGCAACCTGCTGTGGCCAGGCAGGTTACCGCATCCTGCTGCTGCGTTCCACTCACTCTCCTCCAAAAAACATCCCTCTGCCTCCCACGCAAGGACCTCAAAGCTTTGGGGTGACCACCTACCCGGGGACCTGTGGTGGGGGCTCTGGGATATGGCCTGTGGTGAAGCCAGAGGGGGAAAGCCCCAGGGCTGGGCTCCCCTTGCCAGGCAGGCAGGTCCATCTGGGAGGGAGTTTTGGGCAGGATGGGCAGCGGGCAAAGCTGCAGGAGCGGGGTGTGCTGGGGCAGGAGGACAAGGGCGGCTGGCAGGGAAGGAGCGTTGTTCCTTGCCCCCCTCCATGCACCAGGTGCTGGAGGAGGGGTTACTGCTCAATCTGGGGGTCACTGCCCATGGGGACCCTGTGCCAAGGCCAGACCTGCAAGATGTTCTGCACCTCCAGGATGCCGAGGGTGCTGGTGCTGAGTACCAGCATCTGCAGCATGCTGTCCATCGCAGCCAGGGTCTGCGAGGGGGACAGAGGCTTGGGGACAGCCCTGGAAGCCTGGGGAGGGACAGCTGTGGCCCAGTGGTGCCCAGGAAGGGCCCTTGGGGCAGGGGAGCTCCCCATGGTTCACCCTGTGGCATACCTTAGAGTAGAGGAAAGCCTCGGGACCCTGGGTGTCCTCCTGTGGAGGCAGGTGGAAGATGCTGCAGAAGCAGGCACGGAGGAGGCTGTTCTTCTTCTCCTGCAGAAGCAGCCCCGCTCTGCTGTGGGGACAGAGAGGTGCTCTTCTGACACGGCAAGGAGGAGGCAGACCCTGGGTTTGGAGGCAGGCTGGTCCCCACCCTGTGGAGGACATCTCAACCCTCCATGACACTGACAGTCACCTTTGAGGGGAAAACCCCATGGTGCCCACTGTCCTGCTGTCTGTCTCCCTCTCAGACCCGGGACTGGGGATCCCCCCCAACTGGGAGCAGTGCTGTCAGGGCTGCCCGGCACCGGGGAGGCCAAGCTGGGTTCGGGGGCTGGTACCTCATGGAGGTGATGGCCAGCATGGCTTGCTGCCGCACTGTGGTGCCCAGGTGGTCAGTGGGCTCCTCTTGCAGCAGCACCTGGGGAGCATGGCAGGGTGGGATGAGTCGGGACGGGGCAGACTCCTTTGCCCAGCAAGAGCCTGCGGGGCTGACAGAGCCTGGGTGCTCCCCTCCTGGCACCCCCTCCCCATGCAGTGAACCCAAGCCCCGTGGCAGGAAGGGCTGTGCCCATTGCAAAGCCACAGGCTAGCCAAGGGACCTGCAAACATCGTTGGGTCCAAGCCCCGGCTCCAGTTGGGCCACCCAGGTGGTGTTGAAGCATCTCCAAGGATGGACATGTGGAGCCCTCTCCTGTCCCCAGGGCTGTGCCCCTGCCTCACCCCTCACCTCGATGGTCTCCACCACCTCCAGCTGGAAGAAGTAAAGCACGTGCCACACGCTGGAGTCCACACTGGTGGTGCAACAGATAGTGCAGATGGAGGCAAGAAACCTCAGTTTCTGGGCCTCTTGCTGTCAGCCAGGGAGGGGACGGATGGACAGACCGTGTCAGGGGGGAGAGACAGCCGGGGAGGGGGCAGCACAGCCCCCAGCAACTTCTGAATGTGGGATGGGGCCAGACACAGGCACAGCCTTGCAGGAGTGGCCATGGATACCTTTGGTCTGCTCCTGAGGAAGGCTTGGATGATGGCCAGGGTATGGTCTTCCTCCCTGGGCACAGCCAAGGCGGAGCAGCATGGACCTGGCCGAGAAAGAGGCAGGGAGCAGGGGGAACCCTGAACGCTCTGCCCAGCTCCCGGGGCCGTCACCAGCCCTGGGACACTGGTGTCCCCTGTGCACCCCAGGGGCGAGGGTACGATGCTGGAGGGCAGCACGGGGAGGGACGTGCTGGCACCCGGTGGCGGGGAGGAGGGTCTCTGTCCCAGGGATGCTGTGGTGGGGCTGGCTCGCTGGCTGCCACGCTGCGGGAGCCCCAGTGCTGTCCCGGCGGGGGGAACGCGGGCCTGGGGCAGGGCAGGGGGGGGCAGCCCCTGCCCACAGCCCCCCACGCACTCACCCACCCGTGGCCGCTGGACCTCCTGCAGCTCGTTGGGCTTCAGCCCGGAGCTGGGAGCCGAGGCAGCTCCGTCCTCCTCCTCCCAGGCCGGCCTGGGGTGGCTGGGGGGTGTCCCCCCCATCCTGCGGGAGGGAGGGAGGGAGGGAAGGGGTGAAGGGGATCCCACATCACCCAGGGCTGCCCTGCCAGGGGCAGTGGGGCAGCAGTGGCTGTGCTGGGGGGGATCCTTGCTCCCACCCTGTCTCACCACCGTTCTTCCAGACACTCTGGGGGCAGGACGCGGTGACAGTGGGTGTCACGAAGTGCCCCGATGTCACCCCCCACCCCAATCCCCCCTGGTTCTCCCCTCCCTGCACCAGGGGGGATGGAACCGACTCCCTCTTCCTCCTCCTCCCATTCTGAGGCTGGGGTTCACCTCTACCGGGGCACCTCCTTTGTCGCAGGGACCCCCCTGTCCCCACGGGCGGTGGGCAGGCAGAGACCCCGGCCGCCCTGCCCGGCGCTCAGCCGCAGCCCAACGGACCCGCGGCCGTTGGGGTCGGTTGGGTCCCGCCGGTGAGGCTCCGCCGCGGCTCCAGGCGCCACCAGGGAGGAGGGGAGACACCAGGAGGGTGCTGCGGGACCGAGAGGGAGGCGGCGTGGGCACGGAGAGGGTCGCTGGGCTGCGGGACCGGCGGGGCTCGGCCCCGCGAACACCGGGACACGCCGTGCCGCGCATGCGCACAGCTGGCCGGGAGCGGAGGGGCAGCCTCCGGCCGCCAGGGGGCGCGGTTGGGGCGCCGGGGTGTGGCGGAAGTGAGCGGTGGGAGGCGGAAGTGGCGGCAGCGGCGGCGGGGCCGGCAGGTCGGTGCGGGCGGGAGGGGCCGGGGGAGCGGGGAGAGAGGGCAACGGGAAAGGGTCAGAGAGAGGGTCGGTGATGGGTCAGTGATGGGACCGGTGATGGGTCAGTGATGGGACCGGTGATGGGTCAGTGATGGGACCGGTGATGGGTCAGTGATGGGTCAACAATGGGACCAGTGATGGGTCAGTGATGGGACCAGTGATGGGTCAGTGATGGGACCGGTGATGGGTCAGTGATGGGACCAGTAATGGGACCGGTGATGGGTCAGTGATGGGACCGGTGATGGGTCAACAATGGGACCAGCGATGGGACCAGTGAAGAGTCAGTGATGGAGCGGGGGCCGTGTGTTCGGAGGGTGCAGCCGTGGGGTGGGGGCAGCGGTGCTGTTCAGGTTTTTGCGCTGTGTGCGGGTGCAGGGTGGTTTGGGGTGATGGGGGGGCGGTGCAGGCAGGGTGGGGTGCCCTGAGCGTGGGCACCGGCTGGCTCAGGGCGCCGTGCGTGGGCGCAGCACAGGGCGGGTGCTGCGTGGGGCGGCAGGGCAGGGCAGGCTGGGTGCCCTGTGCGAGGGTGCAGTCTGGTTTGGGTGCCGGGGGTGGGAGGAGGGAGGGAGGGATATAGACGGGACCGTTTGGGTGCTTGAACAGACGTGTCATTCACGCCGGGGAAGCAGAAGCAGGCGCTGCGGTTGGCCCCAAGCCTGGGCTGCTTCCTGCTGCACAGGCACCCAGGAGCCGGCGGCAGCGGGCAGGGTGAGCGGTGGGCTCTGCGGGTGGGGGGGGAACCAGGCACCAGGGTGGGCAAAGCTTGGTGGGGTGCTGCCGTCAGAAGCAGGCAGGACAGCAGGCGCCGGGGGGGCTCCCCACTCTGCTCAGGGCCCCTCACTGAGTGCAGTGGGGTGCTGGCAGGGTCCCCGTGTGGGTTTTGCTGGGGAGACAGAAGGAAAAGCGTCGCCAGCCTGGGGGTGCTGGTGGGGACTTGGGGCGCTGCCTGGCCTTCAAAGTGGGGAGTGTGGGCTGGAAGTCAGGGGTCTTGGAGGTGGGGGGGAGGGACATGACATTGGGGGTCAGGGCCAGGCTCTCCACCCCCCCGGAAGGGGGAAGCGGGGCAGTTTGCTCAATCCCAGCTGATAAGCCAGCGCGGCAGTTCCTCCTGCCCGCCGCCTGCGGCTTCTCCTTCGCAAGTGGCGTGGCTGCTGGGCTGGGAAGGGGGTCCCTGCTGCTCACCAGTTGTGGCAGGGGGGCTCTTGGCTCCTCGAAGGCTGCCAGGGCTCCCTGAGCTCCTGCAGCGGTGCAGCATAGCTGGTGTCTGCTCAGCTCCGTGGCATTTGCAGCCATCTTTTGCAGGCTAAGGGGCACGTGTGTGACGAGCTGGCTGGCCTCAGGCAGGCACCCAGGTGTCAGGGGCAGGGGGCGAAGCCAGCCTTGTGTCTCCTGCCCCTCCGCCAGCTTGGTGGTCCCAGACCTGCCCAGGGGTCTCACGGTACAGGGCTCCTGGAGCTGGCACATGTGCCGCTTCCCCGCCGCCGTGCTGTTGCTTGACCTCATCCCCACCACTAACCCCTGTGCCGCCGGGGAGCTGTGCCTGTGCCGGGGCCGGGAGGGACACGCAACGGTCTGTCCCCCCACCGCCTCTAAGCTGTGACCTGCTTGGTCTCCCGTCAGTGAGAAGAATGGGGTCCGTGTCGGAGGAGCTCAGCCTGGTCCCCCTGCACCAGAGGCCGGAGCTGCTGGAGGCCTGCGCCGAGCTGCTGGGCGAGGAGTGGGGGAAGAGCCGGGCGTCGCGGCTCCACACGCTCCAGCGTTCCTCGGACGCCTTCCCCGCCTGCCTGCTGCTGCTGCGGAGCCGGGGCCCCGCCGAGGCCCGTGCCGCCCGCGGGGGTCCCTGCCAGCTCGTCGGCCACGTCCGGCTCTCCCGCGTGGTCGGCCGGCCCCACGACCTCTTTGTGGAGAGCGTGGTGGTGGCCCGGGCACTGCGGGGCCAGGGCTACGGGCGGCGGCTGATGGAGGCCACTGAGCAGTGGGCCCGGGCCCGGGGCTTCGGCTGCCTGCGCCTCACCACCCACGACAAGCAGCATTTCTATGCCCACCTGGGCTTCGTCCTGGGCGAGCCGGTGCAGAGCGTGGCCTTCCTCAGCCCCGCCATACCCACCGCGGTGCTGCGGCTCTTCGCCTCCCCCCCAGCCGCTGCCACTAACGGCAGGACAAGGGTGCCCTCCGCCACCCTGCCTCCCCCCCCGCCCCCCGCCGCCCCCCCGCCACCCCCCCCGCCGACCGTGGTCTGGGCAAGGGGTGTCCTGGCCGAGAGCAACGGGCAGAGCCTCTTGGAGACCCCCCACCGCGATGCCAAAGGGCTGCCCATCTTCTGGATGAAGAAGGACATCTGAGGGGCTGGGGTCCCAAACCGGTGATTAAAAGCGAGTGTGGGCAGCAGCTGCCTGCCCCGGCGCTGCCTGCCTGCCATTCTGCGGGGCTCGCACCAGCTCCCCCAGCCTCCCTGGTTTGTCTTGGCCCCATTGCTGGGGTCGGTGCCACTGGGGAGGTGGTCTCCACACCCTGCCCTGCCCGGCCCCCAGCTCTCCTGGGACCACCCCAGACTCGGGTTAGGACTGGTCCCAGGAGCGCTGCCCGGTCCCACCAGTCTCTTCCCCCACCTAGGGACCTCGCTGTGGGGCAGCTGGGGCTGGCGGCGTGCCGTGCCCACCAGTGTGGCTGCTCCTCTCGCTGCTGAGCAGCCTGGGGAAACCGAGGCATACGATGGCTGGAGGGGCACCGGGGGAGGAGGGCAGGGCAGTGCGGGCTGCAGGGTCCCCTGCACTGCACTGCGAGGAGGGGCAGGCAGGCCCCCCCATCGAGGCAGGCAGGGAGGGCCGGAGGCGGGAGCGGGAAGGTCAGGGAGAGCGGCTGGGCCCTGTGCCGGGGGATTAGCGCTGTCCTTGCTGCGTCACGCAGCCCCTGAGCCCATCCCCGGCTTAATCCCCTCGCCCTAGGTGGCCGACCGGCAGTGGGCAGGGGCACCCGGGTTGGCTCCACCATGCTTCTCGGGGGTCTGAGTCCCTCAGCTGGCACCCAGCCTGGCTAGACCCTGCTATGAAATGTGGAACGGGGGGGTCACAGTGCCCCCCGCTATGGGCAGGGCTAGGAGCCAGCAGGGAAACAAGCACGGGGCTTGCAGTGCCGCACCAGAGCTGTGCTGTGGCTGTGCTGGTGCAGGCAAGGGGTCTGGGCACCAGGGCGCAGCAGGCAGAGGTGCCCACCCTGAGGCAGGAGGTGTCTGAAACCCCCAAGGATTTTGGTGTGGGCAGCACATACCTGTGGGGCAGCCCGGGGCCCTGTGGCCGATCCGGTTCCACCAGCTGCCAGGGCAGCAGTGCCAGCGTGGCCGGGGTCCCCATCGCACCCTGCCACCTCACCCCTGCCGCTCTCCTTTTCCCCCGCAGGGTGCCGGCCCCGCAGGCTGCCGGCAGCACAGGATGGTGCTGGTGCTGGTGCTGCGGGCCTGCCTGGCGCTGGGCACGGCCAGCGGGGAGAGCCCGGCACCGGAGCCCCTGGCTGGCGGCCAGCCCTTCACTGTGGTGTGGAACGTCCCCACTGGCCGCTGCCAGCGTCGCTTCAGCGTGGGGCTGCCCCTCGGCGACTACGGCATCGTGGAGAACCGGGACGGCCGCTTCGCCGGCCAGAACATCACCATCTTCTACAAGAACAAGTTTGGGCTGTATCCCTACCTGTCGCGGCAGGGCGTCCCCTGCAACGGTGGCATTCCCCAGCGGGTCCCCCTCAGCGCCCACCTCGCCAGGGCAGCCGGGGACATCCACCGCCTCCTGCGCCCCGCTTTCCATGGCTTGGCCGTGGTGGACTGGGAGGAGTGGCGGCCCCTCTGGGCTCAAAACTGGGGGGCCAAGCGGATCTACCGGGTGGCTTCGGAGCAGTGGGTGCGGGACCGGCACGGCCTCCTGCCTGCGCGGCAGCGGCTGCGGCTGGCGCGGCGGGAGTTCGAGCGGGCGGCGCAGGCTCTGATGGAGGAGACGCTTCTGCTGGGCCGGACCCTGCGCCCGGGGGGGCTCTGGGGTTTCTACCGCTTCCCCGACTGCCTCAACGGCAACTGGGCCAAGAAGGCCAACTACACCGGGCAGTGCCAGCCGGCGGAGGTGCAGCGTAACGACCGGCTGGGCTGGCTCTGGGCCGCCTCGGCCGCCCTGTACCCCAGCATCTACCTGCCGCCGGCGCTGCCGCCCGCCCTCCGTCGCCGCTACGTGCACCACCGGCTGCGCGAGGCCCTGCGTGTGGCCGGCTTCGGGGCCAGCGGGCTCCTGCCCGTGGTTGCCTACTCCCGCCTCTCCTTCCGCCGCTCGCCCCGATTCCTGGAGCCGGTGAGCACCACGAGGCCGGGGCTGGCGGCGGGGATGCTGCTCAGGGTACTGGGGGAACGTGGCTTGTGCCACCCCCCGGTCACGTCTCTCTCCCCGGCAGGCTGACCTGGTGAACACCATCGGGGAGAGCGCGGCGCTGGGTGCGGCCGGACTCGTGCTCTGGGGAGACATGTCTTACTCCCGCTCGGCTGTGAGTACGGCACACGGACGGGACAGCCACAGCCCCCATGCCCGCTGTGGGGAGGGCTGGCTGGAGGGACCCCGGTGCCGTGGCAGGTTCTTACTCTTGCTTCCCCCCCACACCCCGCCTTCCCCAGGAGAGCTGCGCCAGCCTGCGTCACTACCTCGTGTCCGTGCTGGGTCCCTACGTGGCCAACGTGACAGCGGCAGCCTGGGAGTGCAGCTACGGGCAGTGCCACGGGCACGGGCGCTGCGTGCGCCGGCAGCCCCACGACCTGGGCAGCCTCCTGCACCTCGGCCCCGGCCCAACGGCCTCTTTCCGCTGCCACTGCTACCGCGGCTGGGCTGGCGAGGGCTGTGCCCAGCGGGTCCAGCCCAGCCCTGCCACCTCCTGCCTGGCGCCCACCCATGCTCACAGCCTCTACGGGCCGAACGACCTCCCGCCCTCCGACGCCTGCCTGCCGCGGGGCACGTGGGGCTGGTGACCAGGGCTGGGGACCGCTGTGGTCCCCTACCCTGGCAGCGCTGCCGACCGGTGCTTCCTGTGGTCTCATTAGCTTAAATAAATCCTCCTGGCACGGCTGGCGTGGTCCTTGTGGGCAAAGCTGGAGGGGCTCCGCAGTGCCCCAGGCTGGGCACAATTGCTGCTGCCGCTGAGAGGCAGCAGAGACTCCCATTTAGCTCTGGACGGGCCGACCAGTGCCTCAGTTTCCCTGCACAGGCTCTTCCCTGATCCCATGGTGAGCTGGCAGCCCCTTTACCCTGGGAAGGGGACACAGGGCACTGCCACAGGCTGCTATCCCTTTGCCATGCTGGCACCATGCTGCCAGCAGCCCTGACCGCACTGCCGGGCCCCCCTCCCCATGGCTATTTTTATTCCCCCCCCCGACCGTGTTTCTCACTGTCCTATTTTAAGCGGCGCAGTTGGCGCACCGGGAACCTAGTGCCCGTCTCCCAGGGGCCCCGCACCGCCTCGCTGCCCACTCACGCTGCCCGGGCGCAGGGCACAGGGAGCCATGCCCAGGGAGGCTGGAGAAGGTAGGCTGGGGGGCTGCTGGGGGCCCTGGCACCCTGGGGGGGACTGGGTGGCACCGGGCCATGGGGTTGGGATGGAAGCAGCGGCCAAACGCTGCCCTTGGCTGCAGGGGCTGCGGGCAGAGATGCCTGCCCGGGGAAGACAGGGGTCCCGGAGGGCTGCAGGCGCAGGGCAGCAGGGTTTGGGGAGGGGGCAGGCAGCTAGCTGGCACAGCCCAACATGCCAAACCTGCATGCCCAGCCATGCCCCCCCAGTCAAGGTGGGGAGCAGATGCAGGGGTGATGGGGGGTACCCCTGGGCCATCCCCCAAGCCAAAGGCAGGGCCCTGGAGAGGGTCCGGGGGGACCCTGGGCAGCAGCTGAGGCCCCCCAGCCCCAACGCCTGCCAACCCGACAGCAGCGGCACGGCGCCACGCTGCCCCGCGACACGCCACTGACCCCGGGAGGGATTGGGAGTGGGCACAGTGCCACCCTGCCCTACTGCGGGCACGGCGCCCGGGCCCTGCCTGCTGCTTGGGAAACATGCAAACGCCCAGAAGAAAAAGAAAATCCTTTCCTCCTACCCCAGCGTGGGCACAGTTGCTTCCCAAGACGGTCCTGCAGCCACGCCTGCTTCCAAAAAGCCCCCTTGCTCCCATGGGGGATGTGCCCACCTGGGTGGGGGACACCAGGACCCCCTGACACAGCACGCACCCCACATCTCCGCCTGTGTACCCCCAAGCAGCACACGAGCACGGTGCCCACAGGGCAAGCCGAGCCATGCCGCAGGCCGGGGCTCCCGGGGGAGTCCCAGCCAGCCCCCCCCAGTGCCTGGGCTACTTGGGCTGGGGGGGGTGGCACATTCCTGCCCCCAAGCCAGGGCCAGATTCCAGCCCCACTAACAAGGCTCTGGGATCGTGGCCACCAGACGCCCGCTAACTGCTCCGATGACAGCGCTGGGGCTGGGGGGGGGCACAGCCAGCGCTCGCCCGCCCGCGGCCGCAGGGCTGTGCCAAGGGAACACGGGCGCTGGCTGCCCGCCCCGGCACAGCACCGGGCTGGTGTCAAAGCTGGGGGTCACCTCCGGGAAGGGCCTGGTCCCCGCAGGGGTGCCCGGGGCAGGCAGGGGCTGCGGGCAGGGCCCACGCTCACCCTCTCCACTCCCGGCAGACAGCATGGGAAGGGCCGAGGGTGCCGCACCGGCAGAGCCTGGGGACCCCGACGGCAGCGAGCCCGGAGCCATCAGCCTGCGCCCCGTGGAGTCCATCAGCGACCTGCACTGGGCCTCGGGCGGGCAGAAGGGCACCGAGGGTGAGAGCACCGGGAGGGGGGCCCGTGCCAGCCCCGGCCGTGCCGGCGGTTGGGCTCTGACCTCTTCTCTCCCCTGCCCGCAGGAAACGGCCCGGCTCCCTCCAGCAGCCTGCACCGGCCCCCGCCTCGCCCCGTGCCCCCCGGCCCCCCGCTGCTCCTGCCCACCCTGCGCCCCGTGCCAGCTGCCAGCCCCTGCCCCTGCCTCGGCGCCAGCCACCCCCTGCTCCTGGCCCTGCTGGGGCTCCTGGCCCTGGCGAGCCTGGTGCTGGCCACGCTGGCCATCTACCTGAGTGGTACGTGGCACTGGGCAGGGCGAGGGGGGTGGGTGGGCTGCGGGGGGGGGGCCAGGCCGCCTGTCCCCAGCGTGTCCCTGTCTTCTCCCCGCAGTCCTGCAGAGCCAGTCGGTGCGGGTGCTGGCCCAGTGGCTGGAGAGCCAGGAGGACGCCGTGCACCAGCTGTGGGCAGCCAGCGGGCAGCTCTGGGCTCGCCTCAACGCCAGCACCGAGCCCGGCGGGCACCGCTGAGCTGCTCCCGGCCCCCGCCATGGGAAGGGGCACCTATGGGCGGAGGAGGGGAGCGGGCAGAGCTACCACCCCCCCTCCACCCCCCACCCCACTCAGGCCCGGCAGCGTCACCCCACGGGGCGCAAGGGGGTGACTGGGGCAATCCTGGCCCCTACCCCAGGCTGCGAGAGAAAGGGACAGGGCTGCAAGGACTGGCACCCACCCCAGTGACAGCCCTTCCTCTTAACAAGGCAGAAGGCACCCTCCAATTAGCCTTTTAATTACCTCCTATAAAGAAAGTCTTAGAAAATCACCACCATAGATACATTCCCTGGGTGGCAGGCACTCCCAGCTGGCACGGCCCCATGCCCGCCCCGGCAGCAGCCCCTGAGACTGCACAGGCAGCACTGGGACTTGCCCTGCTGTGCCACCCCCCCATAATTAATTTCCCACAAGAGGACTATTTCACATAAAGCATTTGGCTAGAAAAGGGCTCAGAGCGGGCAGCTGGCAGGGCTGGGCAGAGCCTGCCCCCCCCCTCCTGCCGCTCTGCCACCACCCTGGGGTGCCAGGCTGGCTGCGGAGGCAGGGGCTGTGCCTGGCGAGGCTGGGGGGGGGGGGGAGCTGGGGGAGTGCTCCCGTCACCCGGCACAGACACCAGGGCCAGCTGTCCCACAGCCCTGCGTGGCTCTGCCCTCCCACCCAGCCCTTCAGGCTGTGCCAGGCCACCCCACTGCGCCCTGGGAGGGGGGGACACGAGCCCTGCCACCAAAAAGGGCTGCAGGAGCCCTGTGAGACCCCCTCCCACCATGCCAGGCAGAGCCCCAGACACAGAGCAGGCACACAGCAGCACGCCACCACCTCCCCCCCACACTTTTCTTTTATCCTTCTTCTTTTTTTGGTTAAAAAAATAAAAGAGGGGGCAGCCCCTGGCGAGGCAGCTCCAGGCATTAAATACTCTGCTGTACACGAATAAAAGCCCGAGGGCTGGGGGCACCTGCCCCTCACAGTGCTGGGTCTGCAGTCCAGGTGGGCTGGGGGCTCTGCCCCCGTCCGCCCGTCACAGCACGTCTGCCCGCTTGTCCCGCACCCGGCTCCGGGCTTTCGTGCGGGCTTTGAAGGCAGCCGAGTTGTAGAGGTGCTGGGAGAGGAGGGAAGGAGAGATGGGTTAAGGGGGTGCCCCTCTGCCCACCTCCCCTCGGCACCCACCACACTCAAGTGCTTGGCTGGAGCCCAGGGGGGCACGGGAGGGGACTGTGGGCACAAATCTGGGTGGCGGCACCCACCTTCTCGAAGCGGGAGACCTTGCTGGCTTTCAGAGCAGCCGCATCCAGCACCAAGGGGGGCCCGAGGCCAAAGATCTCCCGTAGCAGCTCGTTGTTCTGCGGAAGCAGAGGCCTGTCAGCACCCGCTGGCACTGGCCCGGTACCCTCGAGGCATGGCCGCCCGGCCCCTACCTGGAGGTGGTGGCGGATGCCAGAGCCCAGCACCTCTTTAAAGGCTTGGTAGGTCCGCTGGCGTGCCCAGCTGTCCAGGTACATGCACTCCAGGCCAAATCGGATGGTCTCCTCCTGATACTCCCCGCTCTGAGCGGAGAGAGGGACATTAGCAACAACCTGGGCGCCAGCCCTGTGCGTCCCCTGGTTCTCAGCAGAGGGAAATCACCAGGCAGCGCAGAGCCACGGGCTCGGCAGGGAAAGGCACCGCCAGCCTCTGGTACCTCGATGAAGCGCAGGATGTCCCGAAAGATGGAGCGCTGCTTCCGTCGGTCTGTCTTGGCTCGGTACTTGTTGCTCTCAGTAGCCAGGACCTTGAGCTGGGCACGCAGGAATTCTGTATCTTGGTGGCACAAGTCCTCCTGCGGAAAAATCAGGGGAGTTTGGAGGGGAGGCGGCTCCAGGCACTGCTCGCAGCCGCCACCGCCAGGACAGGGCCGGAGAATCGCCAGGGCCAGCCCCTCTGCCCGGGCTGGTGACACCAGCCTGGAGCATCCTGACGCTGTCAGCGCCAGCTGAGCTGGGGCACGGGCAGGGTGCTGGTGCCAGCAGCTCCCCGCCGCTCCGCTGCCCGCCCCGCCAGCGCCCCACCGTACCTCCACATCCTGGGCCAGCTCAAAGACCAGCGCGATGGTTTCCCCGGCCAGGATGCGCAACGCGACGCTGCTGCTGGCCAGCAGCGGGGGCAGCTTCAGCCAGCGACTGGGACAGGAAGGCAGGAGGGCAGTCAGGGGCTCCCCCCCTCCACAGCCGGCTGCCCCCCCACCAGCCCCCACCGCATCCCCCACGCCCCACTCACTTGTCCAAGATGCTTTTGATGTGGGAGGGGGGGCAGATGGTGAGGAGCAGGGACCACGACTGGAGCGCGCTGCAGTGCAGGGGGCCATGCTGGGTGGGTGCTGAGCCCCCCTCGCCTGCACTGGGGAGGCTGAAGATGCCCTCCAAGCAGGACAGACACGAGACCAGGTCCTAGAGGGGGAAACCCGCCTGTCAGGCCACAGCTGCCAGGAGGACGCCACAGTGAAGCCATGCACTGGGGACCAAAGGGGACCCACCCTGCCCAGGGACACCAGGAGCTCTCCGGGACAGGAGAGCCTCCTTCACCTGGGACACCCCATCTCTGTGAGGCAGGCTTCCCTCCCCACCAGCTCAGCTCCACGCTGCCCAGGAAAGGGGCCTGGGCTGTCACTGATGTCCCCGTGTCCCTTCCGTGGCTCAGCTCCAAGCTGCCCCGGCACCGTGGGCTGAGGGTGGGCGGCACGGCAGCCCCCAGGGTGCCCTCTGGCAGGGGTACGGATGACACCCCGGCACAGTTACCTCGAGGTCAGCAGCGGCAATGTAGCAACACATGCCCAGGGCCGTGGCACACTGGCGAGAGACGTGGGGAAAAGGCAGTCAGAGGAGGCCATGCCGGGTCAGATCCGGCGCCCAACCAAGGGGAAGCAGGGTTGGGGTGCTCCTTAACCCCACTGCTCCCCGCAGCACCCAATCCTGCCGCCCTCCCGTGGGCGCAGGGAGCCCTCAAAAGCATCTCCCGGGCTCTGCCCACCACTGAGAGGAAAGGGGCCGGGGTCTTACGCTCTGCCGGGCGCCGGGGCTGGCCGTGCTGTCTGTCAGGACGCTGACGAGCTGGGGCTTCAGGCTGCGAAACACCTCTTCCCCCTCCGGGCCAGAGCCCATCTGGAGGCAGAGGAGGGTGAGGACGGTGCCCGCCAGTGCCTGTTCCTCCCCTTTACCTGCAGGCAGGATGAGAAACCTCCCTCAGACACGGGTCACCGGCCCTGCCACCCCCAGCCCCCGCCAGCCCCCCAGACCTTTCTTGAGACACTTCTCCAGGGAGTCGGTGAGCATGAGGCGACGCTCCAGCAGGAACTCGGAGAGGGTTTTGGAGGAGAAGGCCAGGCGCAGGCTCTGCAGTGCCGCCTGCCGCGTCTTGGCGCTGCGAGGGACGGTGGGAGGTGGCAGGGTGGGGCGGCCTGGGACAGGGCACGTCCCCGCGTGGGCAGGGATGGGCAACGCGCCACGCGTGGTCCCGGGGGGGGGGGGGGGGACGACGGGGGACGGACAGACAGACACACACACAGAGCCGCTCCTCACCTCTTGTCCAGGAGGTTGTCCATGTGCTCCTTCAGCCGGTCCTCTGCCTCCTCCTCCTGGCCTTGCTCCCCCGCCGCCTCGCACCCTGCCGAGGTGGCACCCGCGTCACGGAGGTGCCCGGGCGCAAAGCCGGGGACCCACGGCAGCACCCCCGCCACCCACGGAGGGGGTGGGGGGGCCACATAGAACGGGGCGGCCCCCAGGGGCTCACCTGCGCCCTCCTCGGCGGCGCTGGCCCCCTCGCTGGCGCTGCTGCAGTGGCTCAGCACCTCACTGCCGGCCTCCTCCTCGCTGGCGGGCGAGCCCGCCCGGGCGCTGCCGGGGCCGCCTGCGGGGGGGGGGGGGTCGCGGACAGGCCCCCGTCAGACCGGGGCCCCTGCGACCGGAGGCCTGTGCGGGTCCCCGCGCCCCGCTGACAGGAGGGCAGGGCAGGGCAGGGCAGGGCAGGGCAGGGCAGGGTGGCCCGGCCCCCGCCGTGCCGCCCCCCCACCCGTGGAAGGGGACCCCGCACCCCGCACCCCCCCCGCCCAAGCACTCACGGCGCGCGACTCGGCGGGAGCGCGGCATGGCCGGCGCGCGCACCCCCCTGGCCCCTCCCCGGGCGGGAAGCCCCGCCCCTGGCCCCGCCCACCCGCCCCGCGCGGCTCCCTCTGGGAGCGCCCGCCGCCGTCTGCGCATGCGCCCCACTCCCCACTCCCCACTCCCCCCCCGGTGCGGGGCGGTGGCGGAGCGCGGCCCCCGGGTCTGGTTGGTGGGGATGGAGCCCGGGGGTGACTCCCACCCCCGCTAAAACCTCCCCGGGCCTCCCCCGCCCCTCTCCTGTCGCTGTTCCCACTCCTGGCCCGTCACTGCCCCTGCCCGCATATCCTTAGGAAAATCTCATTCCCCAACTGTTGTACCCATCAGTATTGGCAGCAGGAAACTGTGAGAAGTAACAGAAGAATTTTGTTTTCCCTAAAAGTAACTAAACAACTACTTCTATGGAGTTAGGCTAAACCTGTTATTAAATTAGTGTTGTTAAAATTATAACAGTTAAGTAAGCCTTTTTTGATCACAAATTAGGCATATGGTTGGGCATTGTGGGGAGTTGGGCAAGCAAGAGGATGGGGGGGGTGGGGTCTGTGGTTAGGTGTCATGTAAAGGGGAACGTGGATGGGGGGGCTGGGGAGGAATGGAAGCCAGCAGAAAAGGGTTAAGCGAAGAACTCCTGATGAAGAGGAAGCTGGACTTCATACCCCCCCAACTCCCTCAGAGAGCAGTGGAAAAGGAATGAGAGAGACAGCCTCGGAGAAACCAAGAAAAAGGAACTGCGCAGCTGTAAAGAGGAGAAAAGCCGCCATTTTCATTCAGTCAATGAAATCTCCTGGTTGCTTTATAAAAAAGAAGCCCCTGATGGGGCAGGGTGCGCGTCATTGCACCCAGGGCTGTATTCTTTGCTCCACTGACTTTGTCCCCAATAAAACATTTTTTTTTTTAATATACGTGAGCTTGTTTCTCACAAAACTAGGAACTTTCCTGAAGATCTGCACCTCTGTAGTTTTGGTTGTAGGCTGCGTGGCTATGGTTTGGTAGGGCACGGCTACTATTGCGATGAGGAGGAGGAGGCCAGCCCTGCCACGAAGGGCGAAGGCAGCCCCTGGACTCCCAAGATAAGGCCAACACCCCAGCAGCACCCCGATACTTCCCTGAGTCTCTCCTATCATCTGGCCTCCCAGATAAGCAGCTGCAGTGAGGCCGGCTCCAGGGATGGGGAAAGAAGACTGGAGTGAATAGGGGCTGGTCAAACAGTGCTGTACCCCAACAGGCAAAGGGTGCAGGAGCCCCTCTGTGACACCGCATTTGGGGTGCCCTGGTTTGGCTGGGACACCCCACGAGTGGGCATAAAGGATAACTCTTGTCGCTCTCGCTCCTTGGGCCGAGTGGGCCAGATGTGAAATGCTCGTGACACTCGTCCCTGTCCGTGTCCCTGCCCCTGTCATCTGCATCCCTGCCCACAGCCCTGCTTCTGTCCTTGTCCCTGCCCAAGTACCTGCTCCTGTCCCCATTTCTGCCCCTGTTGCTGTCCCTGCCCCTGCCCACATCCCTGCTGTTATCCCTGCTCCTGCCACTATTCCTGCCCTGGTCCCTGCTGCGTTGTCACCCACTCTGTGGGGACATCCATCCCTGCTCCTGCTCTGGCCATGTTGCTGCTCCCGCCTGTATCTCTGCCCCTGTCCCTGTCCTGATGCTTTCCCTGTGCCAGCCTTTGTTCCTCCCCCTGCCCTGTCCCTGTCCCTGCCAGTACCCTCATCCCCATTCCCAAACGCACCCCACACCCATCCCCATCCTTACACATGCTGCTGCCCCATCCCTGTCCCCCTTCCTGCCTCTTCTCCCTACCCCCTGCCCGTCTCCTGCCCATGCCCTGACCCCCTGCCCCGTCCTGCTCCTGCCCCTCCTCCCTACCCCCTTCCTCTTCTGGTTCCTGCCTGTCCCTGCTCCTGCCCGCTGTCCCTGCCTGCCTGCAGCCCCTGCCCATCCTCCTGCCTCTGCCCTGACTTTCCAGCACTGAATTTCAGTTTTTTGGCTCTTCCCAGCCTCCCGGGATGACCCAGCACAGGAGAGCGGAGCTGCCCGTGGGCATCCACCCCGCGGCCACCCACCCCGCGGCACCCGGGCAGCCCACGGCACCCACGCGTGGGGGATGGGAAGAGCGGGGGAGGGGGGAACAGAGCCACCGCGGGGACCGCTTTGCACTTTCGTTTCCAGCCGGCGGAGACCGAAAACGAAACTCGGGCAGAAACAGAAACTCCCGTTTTCTGGCTCTGCCGCGACCGGCGCTTAAGGCAGTGCGGGCAGCAGCGTCCCGTCCGTACCGCTGCCGGGGGGGGCACCGGGACCCGGGTGATGTTGGCATCAGCCTGTCCCACCGCCCAGGGTGACACCGGGACCCCGATGATGTTGGCATCAGCCTGTCCCACCGCCCAGGGTGACACCGGGACCCCGGTGATGTTGGCATCAGCCTGTCCCACCGCCCAGGGTGACACCGGGACCCCTGGTGATGCTGGCATCAGCCCTGTCCCACTGCCCAGGGTGCCACCAAAGTCCCTGGTGGCACTGGCAGCGGCCATGTCCCATTGCCTGGGGTGACACAGTGCCACCAACACAAGCCACATCCCAGCGGTGACTGTGCCCCAGCCCGGACCCGTGAGCCCCAGGGGTGGGCAGAGGCAGGCGCTGGTGCAGGCAGGGCACCCCCAGCCCCCGGGCAGCGTCCCCGTGGTGGGACACTGCCTCCTGCCAGCTGGGCGCCCAGGGGACACCCTGTGCCACCGCAGACACCCCAGACCCAGCCCGCAGGCAGCTGCCTGCGCTGCCACCACCGCTGTCACCGCTGCCCCTCAGCTGGGTGCTGGGGTGATGGCGGTGCCGCGCAGCCCCCCCCCGCCCCCTCCCAGCCCTCGCGGCGGTCGCACTGGGGACACCCGTGGGACCCTGTGGGCAGGAGTCTCCCGTGGGGCTGGAGGCTGAGGAGAGGCAAGGCCCGGGGACGGGGCCACCTTAACTTCCCAGCGGTGACGCCATCGGGGCGGTGGCTCAGAAGGGTTTATAAGCTGCTGCAGGCAGGAGCGAGCAGCAGAGAGGGAATGAGCACATCTGGCAGGATGAATGTGGGGCAGGTGACATCCACGAACGGGCTGAGGACCGTGCCTGCCAACCAGCTGGACCGCTGGATTGCGGAGACCCTGCAGCCCAGTACTGCTTTCTGCAAGCAGGTGAAGCAGACGGTGAAGCAGATCTGTGACTTCTTCAAGGAGAACTGCTTCGAGACCAACATCCGTGTCCACAAGACCGTCAAGGTGAGCACTGCCTGGCTCAGGGGCCGGCCAGCAACACTGCTGCCACCCTGCCCTTTGTCCCATTGCTCCAGCTCCTGCCCTGCCTCAGTTTCCCCTGACAGCTCCAGGGGCGGTGGCGGGCGATCCCTGTGCTGAGGGGCAGCAGTGCTGAGCGGGCAGGGTATCTCTTTGCAGGGCGGCTCGGCGGGCAAGGGCACAGCTCTGCAGAACAACTCCGATGCCGATGTGGTGCTCTTCCTCAGCCACTTCTCCAGCTACGAGCAGCAGAAGCAGGAGAGAAAGTATATCCTGGATTTGATCAAGAGGAGGCTGCATGCCTGCAGACAGAGCCTGACGTTCACTGTGACCATCAGCGAGCCCCAGTACAAGGGTCCTGGCAATACACCGCGTTCCGTCAGCCTCACTCTCCGCTCCAGGACAACCCTGGAGTCCATCAAGGTGGACGTCCTGCCTGCCTACGACGCCTTGGGTAAGGACCGAGGGCTGGCACGGCGCTGGGCTGTGGCACCAGCGCTGGGGCGGCTCTCACCCCCTTCTCGCCCTGCAGGGCAGGTGACCCGGGATGCCCAGCCGGACATGGAGGTGTATGTGGGGCTCCTGAATGCCAGGGGTGACCCCGGGGAGTTTTCCTCCTGCTTCACTGAGCTGCAGAAGAAGTTTGTGAAGCGTTACCCTGCCAAGCTGAAGAACCTCCTGCGCCTGGTCAAACACTGGTACAAGGAGGTGAGGGGCTGTCCGGCTTCCCTGGCACCCACCAAGCAGCTGCCCTGGCCACCTCTCACCCCCATCCCCATCTTCTCCCTAGATGCTGAAGCCACAGTACCTTAATGCTGACCTGCCCCCCAAGTATGCCCTGGAGTTGCTGACCATCTATGCCTGGGAGGAGGGCACGGGCTCCTCCGACTCCTTCAACATGGCTGAGGGTTTCCGTACAGTGCTGCAGCTGCTGTGCCGGCCCCAGGAGATCTGCATCTACTGGGAGATGTACTACTCGCTCCAGCACACCCAGATCGGTGCCCATGTCAAAAACCTGATGCGTAGTCACTGGTGAGGACCATACTTGGTGGGAACTGTTGCCACCTGCCCCACGGCACTGCCTGGGGCTGATGGCAGCTCCTGCCCTTTGTGTTTGCAGCCCCATTATCCTGGACCCCGCTGACCCCACCGGGATCCTGGGCAAAAACACGCAGTGGGATCTGATGGCACAGAAAGCTGCCCAAGACCTTTCCCTGCTGCCCTGCATCAATAACACCCAGCCCTGGGATGTGCAGGTAAGGCTGCCTGTGCCTGTGGGCATAACAGCAACCCCCCAGCCCCTGCCAGCTTTGCCCACCCCCTCTTCTGTCCCTGCAGCCGGCCCGGCTTGTGACAATTGAGGTGAAGCAGATGGTGGGCACCAGCCTGAGCAGGACCGTCAGCCCTCACACCACCATCCAGCAGCTGAAGAAGCAGATCGAGAAGGAGTGGAACATCCCCTGGTACAAGCAGCGCCTGAGGCAGCAGGAGCTGGGCAGGAACACTCCAGTCCTGCAGGACGGCGAGACCCTGGCCACATACGGCATCTTCTACAACACCACGCTGGTGCTGCTGCAGACCGAGCCCCAGACGATCGAGATCTTAGTGAAGAACGACAAGAACCAGACCACCACCTACATGGTGCAGCTCACAGACACCGTCCGGCAGCTGAAGGAGAAGATCCACAGCAACAAGGGCCCTTCGGCCGACCAGCAGTACCTGACCTACGATTCCAGGACTCTGGAGGACCAGCACATGCTGGCACACTATGACATCCAGCCCAAGAGCACCATCTACATGAACCTGAAGCTCCGGGGGGGTGCAGGCCCCCAGAACCCACAGTTCCCTGCCTGATTGCCCTCCTGAGTGCTGCCCCAGGCACCAGTCCACGCTCCTGTACCCCCCCCTCCCGTCGCGCTGGAAATAAATGCCTTAGTAGATCCTTGTGCTGCTCGCTGGGTTGGGGATGGTGCCAAGGGGCACGGGGAGGGTGGTCAAGGGGGGACCCCATTGGAATGAGGGGGGACCTCAATGCCACTGGCTGCTGGGACAGCACAGGGACACACAGGTGCAAAGCAGTGGTGCTGTCTGAGCCCAGGGTGCTCGGTGGGATCAGAGGTGCCAATCCAGGACCTCAGGGAAAAAAACATCTCCATCTGCTTCCCCTTTGCTTGCTCCTGCCTGCAACAGCTTTTAAACCTTGCCGGGGCCACCACCCCAATCACTGCCAGACAGCTGAGGTGCCCCTCCCCGGCTTTGGGGCTTCACCTCTCCCCAGCCCAAGCTCCCCTGGGTGCCCAGCGTGCAGGAGGTGATGTCCCCCCACGGGGACCCTGCGCCAAGCCCTGCCTGGGGACTGAGGGTGGCCCTGCCTGCACCAGCCTGTGCCCAGTCTGGGGGCTCAAGAGTCCCGGGCTGGGGCGCAGCCAGCACTGGGACATGACTGGTGCTGATGTCACCGCGGGCAGTGGGGCATGGCCGGTGACAGTGTCACCGGGGACCTTGGTGCCACCCCAGGCGGTGACAGGCAGCGACCCCAGCATCGCTTCCTGTCACTGCCTTATCACTGGGCTGTTGGCACTGCAGTTTCGGTTTCCACCTTCCAGAAACGAAACTCGGGGTGTGGCGTGTGTGCAGAAGCCGGGGGGGGGGGGGCTATTGAGCTTGGTGATGTCCACATGGGGATTCACCTCTCCCAGCCCCCCGGGTGCTGCCAAGCACCCCAACCCTCTTGGCTCAGGGTGCCAGTGGGGGTCCTGCTGTAGGGCACCGGCCCGCCCCCCCCCCCCCCGCCGAGTGTTCTCTGGGGCAGACACGGGACCCTGAGCTGAATCCTCTGCTTTATTGTGCTCAATTAGTACAAGCCCCACCCCCCCCCGCACTGCTGCTCTGCTCCCAGGGCACTGGCCACCACCTCCATGCCCCCCACCCATGCCCCCCCCCCCCCAGGCACCCCTCATCCTGCTGGGCCCCCCGTGTCCCACCAGCGCCTGTCCTGCCCCTCTTGGGGTCTCACTCCTGCCCGCAACCCCCTTGGACCTGGGGGGGTCCCTGCTGCCCCATCGCCCCGCGGTGCCATGCCTGGGGCGGGGAGGACACAGACTGTCCCTGCCGCCCCCCCGCCAGGGAGCAGGTTTACATTCATCCGTAACAGTCGTTAATAAATATTTCGGTGACTCTGCGGTGCCAGCAGCCGGCCGGGTGCCCCCACCGGGGCTGGAGCCGTGGCAAGGGTGGCCGGCAGCCCCTCAGGGGAGGGTGGTCAGCCCGGCTGCCCTCCTGGCCCGGGAGCCGCAGCCCCCCACCGCTGCCTGCACCCGGCTCCGGTGCTGCCGACGGGGCGGCCGTGTCCCGTGGGGGCTTTGCCCCTGCCCGCGGCCCCACTCCTAGGCAGAGCCCGGCACCCGGGGCCGGCCCCGGGGTCACCAGGGGGACGCGCTGCGGGGGCCCCGCTCGGCCCGCGGCCCCTCGTGGGTGCGCCGGCGGCGGGCTTTGTGCGGCTCCTCGCCCTGCCCACGGCCGGGGGGTCCAGCGTGGGCGCGGGGGAGCGGCGGGGGTCTTCCCTGGCTCCAGAGCCGCTGGCAGACCCTGTCTGCAGCCCCCAGGGGCGGGCGCTCCACCAGCTGGAGGAAGTCCCGGTACCAGACCTTGCGGCTGGGGGCCCCGGCGGTGAGCTGGGGGTCTCTGGCAGGCGCCGTGCCCGCTGCCTGCCGGGTGCCGATCACCTCCAGGGAGAGCCGCAGCAGGGGCTGGGTGAAGCCGTGCTCGGTGGCGTGGCAGAGGTAGAGGCCGGCGTCGGCGCGCTGCACGCTGCGCAGCAGGACGCCCCGCTCCGTCCGCACCACCCGCTCGTCCGTCTGCACCTGCGGCACCCGTGGGGACGGGCGGTCAGCTCGGCACAGCGCGGTCCCGCCGGCGGCACCCGGCCGGGGAGAGCTTACCTCTTGCTGGGGGTCATCCGGGGTGCGCTGGTACGTCCAGAGGACGTGGGCTTGCAGGGACTTGGGGACACACTCCAGGAAGGCGGTGCTGCCCTCCACCCCGTAGAGCTGCTTCTGGGGCACACTGCCCCGTCGCGGGTCTGGGGGGGTGGGACACGGCCCGGCTGTCAGCCCCCCACCCCGGCAGGGCTGTCCCCCCAACCCCTCGGCCGAGTCCCGGCTCACCTTCAGAGCAGAGCACGTTGGGGTCACCGTTGCGGACGTCCTGCCGGCGGAAACGCCTGCGGGGAGGTGGTGGAGGAGCAGGGGCTGTGGCAGAAAGGGCCTGTGCCCCTCACCCTGGCCTCGGGGCAGGCACCTCACCTACCTCTTGGTGTTGGGCACATAGCGGGTGCAGGCAGTGCCATCCCAGGCGCAGTACGGGTCCCGGGCCAGGCAGCATTCGGCGCAGGCTTTGCCGTAGGCACTGCAGCGGTGCAGGGGCAGCTGGGCCAGCGCGGCGGCCGAGCCGGCATAGAGCTGTTGCTGGGGAGGCGGAGGGGGGGGAAAGCGGAGCTGAGCACCCTGGTGCCGTGGCACGGGGCCGGGCAGAGCCACGGTGGGACACGGGGAGCCCCCCGGGGTCCCCCCTTACCCGCTTGGAGGAGAGCTGCAGGCTGGTGATGGGGGAAGCGTCCTGTGGGCAGAGTGCGGGCAGGAGTTAGGGAGTGCAGGGGCACCCCGGTGTCCCGGCAGCCGGAGCACCCCGACACGACCTGGAAAGCAGGCAGCATGAGGGGGTGGGGGGCCAACTGCGGGGTGCGGAGAACCCCCCTCACCTGGAAGACCTGGAGCTCCTCCAGCAGCAGCGGCTCCATGCGGTGCCAGCTCTCCTTGGGCACCGAGACCACCTTCAGCACTGTGCCCACGTCTGCAGGAAGGGAGGGGTGAGGCCGGGGGTCCCGGCCCCGACATCCCGCAGCTCTCCCCCCACCCCCCGTCTCTGGGGTCATCACATGCCTGTGCCGATGAAGAGGACGTCGTAGTGGCCATCGGCAGCGGTGACATGGTCCACGGCGATGCGGGTGAAGGTGTAGGGCACGGCGACTTGCAGGAAGAGGGGGCGCTGGCCGTGGGGCAGCACGGGGTTGTACATCAGCGGGTGGTGCCGGGCAAACTGGATCACCTCGTCTGGGAAGTCCTTGGTGGAGCCAAAGGTGCCGAAGGTTTTGCTGGGGCACTGCGGGGAGGCGGCGCTGGCTGAGCGGGGTCTCGCTCCCCACGGCCCCCCGCCCCAGGTACCCGCATCCCACCGGTGGCACCAGCTGGGATGCCCCTGTGCCACGTACCATGCCGGGGCGGGGGTACGGCACGCGCCCCTGGTACGACACCCACTGGTAGTTGGGTCCCTCCTTGTGTGCGAAGGGGCCCAGGAACGCCCGGCGGATGTCGGCCATGGTGTAGATGCAGACAGCAGAACCCTGGAAAACGGAGCTGGTGGGAGAGAGAGAGGGCGATGTGAGGGGCGAGGGGGGCACTGCCAAGCACTGGGGGGGGTGCGGCAGGGAGGGGGCTCGACCTGGAGGTGGTGAAGACAGCGTAGACCAGGGGGTTGCGCTTGTCCCTTGTCTGCAGCAGGAAGACGTCCCCTGCAAGCAGGGAGGGCCTCAGCACCGCCCTCAATGTGCCAGGACCTCCCGTGGGTGCCCTTGGGGGCCCCACACCCCCACCCTCCACCCCCCCTGCACTCACGGAGCTCATCGAAGTGGGTGTCCGCCCCATCAGGTCCCGGCACGGCGCAGACGAGCCGAGCCTTCAGGAAGGTCGTCCACTTGTTCACCAGGCTGCGCTGCCCACCCACGTCGTTCTGCGGGGGGAGGGAGGGCACCGCGGTCAGCAGCGGCGGTGGGCACCCCTGGGCACCCCCCCCAGCACCCCCCCGGCACCCAGCCCACCCGCCCGTGGGTGCTCTCACCCGGCAGATCTGGCCGATGCGGGCGAAGCTGGTCTTGCCCAGCCCTTGCTGCCGCTCCACCGCCGTCTCACGGAAGAAGAAGTAGATCTTGTCGTCATCAGGATCCTCGCTCTCCGGCACCCAAAAAACGGCCACGAACTTGGGCTCTGGGGGAAGAGGGGTGCCGCCTCCAGTGCCCCCGCTAGCTCTGCTACCCGGGGCACCCACTGGGGTCCCAGGAGGGTACAGACCCCCCCTTGCCCAGCTGCAGGGCAGAGGCTGAGTGAGGGTGGGACCCCACTGGGGCTCTGCGCGGGGCATGGGAACCCCCCCAAATCACCCTCTGCAGGCAGTGGAGCCTGGGGAACTCGTTGCCCCGATGCTTCCAAGGAGCAGCGGTGCCACACTGGGGTGCCAGCACCCCCACCACCCTCCCGCTCCCCGGCACTGACCGTTGAGCCAGCGGGAATCGTGCTGCTCGGTGCGGATGGAGGGGCGCTGGCCCAGGCTGCGGAAGATGGTAAAGTCACGGCCCATCAGATCGGTGGCCACCCCGGAGTAGAGCTCCTCGCCTGGCAGGCACCAAGGGAAGCGTTACAGGGGACCCCCCGGCACCCCCCTGCCGCACCGTCCCCCAGCACCGGGCTCAGTTCTCCCTTACCGACGAGGACGGAGGCAGCCGTGTGCCGGGGGTCGTATGGGCTCTTCCCCTTGCCGTCCTCAGCACGCCGGGGGTCCAGCTTGAAGATGGGCTCCTGGAGGGGGGTAAGGGCAGGAAGCGGGGGGGTGGTGGCAGCCGGGGGCCACGGCGGTGCTGGGGGGGGGCTCACCCTCACCTCTGCGTGCTGGCCGGCCTCCACGAAGGCGCAGACGGGGTGGAAGGCGCCGGTGCCGCAGGCGTACAGGTGGGTGCGGTTGTAGGGGTGCAGGATCTTCACGAAGTTCATGCACTCGGCCTGGGGGCGGAGGGCACGGGGAGGTGGCGCTGGGTCAGATGCCCGGTGCCCCCCCCCCCGGCACCCCTCAGCACCCCCCAGCACTCACAGTGATGTCCTTGCCGGCCCAA